CATCCAGAGGTACCTTGACAGGCTGGAGAGCTGGGCCCGTGCGAACTGCATAAAGTTCAACAAGGCCAAGCGCAAGGTCCTGCACATGGGTTGGGGCAATCCGAAGCACAACTACAGGCTGGGCGGGGAATGGATTGAGAGCAGCCCTGAGGAGAAGGAGTTGGGTGTGTTAGTGGACAAGAAGCTCCACATGACCCAGCAATGTGCGCTTGCAGCCCAGAAAGCCAACTGTGTCCTGGGCTGCATCAAAAGCAGCATGACCAGCAAGTCAAAGGAGGTGATTCTCCCCATCTACTCCACTCTCATGAGACCCCACCTGGAGTACTGCGTCCAGCTCTGGGGGCCCCAGTGCAAGAGAGACATGGAGCTGTTGGAGTGAGTCCAGAGGAGGCAACAAAGATGATCAGAGGGCAGGAGCACCTCTCCTATGGAGACAGGCCAAGAGAGTTGGGGTTGTTCAGCCTGCAGAAGAGAAGGATCTGGGGAGACCAGGCTATAAGCAGCCTTCCAGTACCTGAAGGGGCCTACAGGAAAGCTGGAGAGGGACTGTTTATCAGGGAACATAGTGATAGGACAAGGGCTGATGGCCTTAAACTGAAGGAGGGGAGATTTAGATTAGATATTAGGAAGAAATTCTTCCCTGTGAGGGTGGTGAGGCACTGGAACAGGTTGCCCAGAGAAGCTGTGGATGCCCCATCCCTGGAAGCGTTCAAGGCCAGGTTGGATGGGGCTTTGGGCAACGTGGTGTAGTGGAGGGTGTCCCTGCCCATGGCAGGGGGGCTGGAACTGGATCATCTTGAAGGTCCCTTCTAACCCACACCATTCTATGATCCTATCATTCTATAATTCTATGATTCCAAGTATATAAAATATATCCAAAATATCTCAGATGACTTGTGTTAGAAGGGTGCAATTAATATGTTGTAAATACACCTGGCTCATCAGAGAGCTGAAATAAGGAAAAACAAATGAGATGGAAGAAAATTAGGATGGACTGTTCATGGAGTGTATAATATAGAATTGGGGCTTTTCCTGGCAGACTTCTGAGCACAAATACAGGAGAAAAGAAACTGTCTATATAATTTGTTGAATGTGTAGTATACTACCAGTTATTAAAACAAAAGCAGTTTCTTACTTGATATTTCATGTTGTTGTCTCTAGTGTAAAGGAGGAAATTGGTGTTCACATCCTCTGGAGAGCTGGGCAAGCCTGCCAGTTGTCTCCCTGGGATCCCAGACCAAGGGGGGCTATCTGTGAAGCATCCAAGCCTTTTGTAGCAAACTTCCCTTCCTGGGGTACACAAATAAAAGTGTTAGTGTTCTGGGAATGTAGCAGGTTAGGCTGCCACCGTTTTATAAGAAGCTGTCAGGACAGTGTTTATGCCAGGGGAGCAGAAAATGGCAGGTTCGGATTAGGTTGACACCTGTGTTCATTTTTCATTAAGGGGCTCAGTTGTGCTCCTGTGCCTTGTGTGTGTAGCAGGGACTTGAACTTCAAGACTGATTCCTGTTGCAAACATAGTGTAGAGCTCAGTTTGGTGAACTTATGACTTGTCAAATATATTGTTAACACAGCCATCGGAAAAAGACAATAAAATCGTGATCCTTTATGGATCCAGAGAACAAACCAGCTTTGGTTGCCAGTGCAGAGCAGTCCTTCAAATTAGTGCTAATGCTCCAGGGATTATCTAAATTGTTATTTCTTGTGCAACAATTCATGAAGGAATAAAACGAAACATAAACATTAAAATAGATACCTCTGGTTGCTTCACAACATACATTAAACATCTCCCTTTTTTTTTTTTTAATCACCATAATATTTTAGGGGAAGCAATAAAATGGAATTTGAGTAGAAGCCTAGAGCAAAGCACAGCCTCAGGAAGTGTGGTCTGTGCCTCAACGACTGGAGTTTCCCAATTTCTACTGTGGCTGTAATACAGTAATGATGCAAATATGACATATGGGTGTTGCTATTAAATGTCATCCTTACTGATTATTAAAGCACAACAGTTGTGAAATCTCAAGTAATTTTATTGCTATAAAAAGATACTGAAAACAATGAGAAACTATTGTTACCTAGATAGGTGACAGATTCAATACTACCTCAGACCGTGACTTACTCTATTCGTTACTCTGTATGAAACGCAGGGGCAGAGTGATACATACTGGAAATACATCTAGAGAAAGAGAAGATTTCATTGTGGAGCTGCAGCTAGAGATTCCACAAATGATCCAGTCATTTTCACAGGGGTCTTTCCTCTGATGCCAGCAAACTTTTGGACTGTGTCTTTTTGTTTCTCTCTGCTCTTTCTGTGTGTCTATCCCTGTTGAACTATTCGTTCCTATTGGTAAAGATGTATTTTGGACTGGGACTATTTTCTTGTTCTCTGCATGGTGCTGTGAAGAGTAAATGCCTAGACTGGCATTAAAAGTGCTGAAACTACCATAAATGCTGGTGTGGGTTGAGGGTGGGTAGGGGAAACTGTTCTGGAAGAATTTTAGTATCAATTAATATATAAAAATACCTTTCTAATTCCCATTCTGTTTGCTAGCTGCAAAAACCTTTACTGAATTAAAAAGTAATAAGTTAAATGTTGGAAAGACATGATGTAACTCAATGCTTCTGATCAAGAACTCTGTTACATTGATTCCAAAGCACAGCCTTTTTCTAAAATATGGTTATTCTGGTGTAAGCTGCACACAACAATTTTTACTCTTTATAGATTTTATCAGCTATGTGTCTTACCTCTGGCTACATCAAGAAGAAAAATAGCAGTGATCCATATTGCAAACATCTAAAGCAAATAAGAACACAATTAAAACCTAATTAAAAATAGAATCTGGAATTCACCTAAGGATTTCCTTGACCCATCAAAAAAAAAGTCATAATGACCATTGGAATACTTCAGGCATTTAATGAATGAGATCCAAAAGAATCAACACTTCCTTAAAGATAGCAAGGTTTCAAGAAAATACCTTTGGGATCCTTTCTGTTTGCCATGGAGATTTTGCATACGCACGATATCCTCTAAGCATCTCTTAAAGATTGTCTACCTGATCTTGACAGACATAAGCTTCCCCCCAAACCCACGAGCTGCAATTTATGGGCAAGCAAATGAAATTCTTAAAGGATTTGCAACAATTTTTTTTACAGAGTGAAGTTTCTTCTAGCATTTAGTAGAAAAGTTACTCATAGAACTGCTATTCAGTGATTGCATTTAAAAGAACTTAGGAACAAACTTAATTCATGTTTCTAAATCATATAGAAAGTTTTGAAAACTGATTTTGATCATTGCTATCATCCATGTACACTTATCAGCCCTGATCTGCTTGATCACTTAATCACCAGCTGATATGTAAGCATTGGAGTAAATAGAACCAGTCATTTACTTTGAGATGAAGTAGGGAAATCTTTTTAAGTGTAATCTTATCTTCAAAGGAAAGATGATCATTCTTAGAAAACTCTACTATCAGGCCCCGATCCTCTAAAGAGTCCTGCACAGGCAGGAGATGCCCTTCCTGCCCTCCCCAGCCCTGATCTCCCCAGTCCCCCCAGTCCCCATAGTCCCCTGGAATCAGCAATATGCTGTTAGGAGCAAAGAGTTCATCCCTGTGAAACCCACTGCAGGTTCAAGCATGTCCTGCTTCCATCTCCTCTCCTCCAGACACTCACCAAGTACCTTACCATGGTGCACCTAATTTAAGTTCCTCAGATGCTCTTGTCTCGAGTGCATCCCATTTTACCTTGGCTCAGACCAAGTTCTTTGGTCCACCTCTCAGTTGACTGCGGCAAGCCTTGCAGAAGCCCTTTGAGCAGCCTGGAATGAAGCAGGACAGCAATGTGCCTGCCCAATGAGAGCACACAGTGGAGGGATGCTCACCCTGCTGTTGCTCCACAAGGCTTGGGTTCCCAGCTGCACCTGTGACTTTGTTGGGTAGTGCCAAGAAAGATCTCCCTTGTGTCAGGCATGCTTCATCTGAGATAACACGAACCAGGTCAGACCAGTTGCTGCGTGACTCCACCTGTTTAATGCAAAGTTTCACATAGGGTGTTATTGTCATCCATTGGTAATTATTTTTAAAGCTAAAAAGTACTGGGAAGTGTGATGTAAACACTGAACAAACACATAGACTTTCAGGATCAGAAGCAAGGCTGGGCTGCTCGTCTCGGTGTGATGCTGAGCTGGGATGCAAGTGATTCAATCACACCAGAAGGCTGTAGCAGAGCTGCGGTCTTTTGGGTCCTACTCCAGAGTTTTAATAGCAAAACCACCCTTCCAGGAGCTGATCCCTGCCTTAAATAATTTACAGTCTTCAGCAAAATTTTCAAATTTGTATTTGATAGTTAAGTCTACCACTACATCAAGACACAAACAAGGTGTTTTGGGATGAGCCAGCGTGCATGTTCGCAAGGTTTAAGCTGTTACCTGAGAAAAAGCAGAAAGAAGAGAGAAGGATGAAAAATGATAAAAAATTAAATTGCTCATTCTGTCATCTGTTATTTGTTTGTCTTGTAGTTCTCTTGTCTGTAATTTTGCTAGTGGTTGAAGTACCTAACTTTTCTTTGAAAAGATGACAGAAATGCTTTTAAACAGGGGAAAACAGTTCCTTGGGCAAATTGGCACCACATCCAATCACCCTGGATCTTCATAATTAAATTGTATTAATTGCAGTAATTTTAATTTTTAGTGTTTTGAAAATGAGGTCTTTTCACATAGTACTATATTGTTGTCATACTATTCTGTTAACATTTCCATCAGGCTTTCCTAGAAATCTTTGCTCCAGTACGTGGGTCTTTTCCAAACTAAATGATGATTCTATGATTCTGTGTAGACATAAATGAGAAACTCGCATCTCAACATTTTAATGTTAAACCCTTTAAGTATATTGGGTGACCATTGGCACCTCCTAAGCCAAGGGTGTACAGAAGTGGGAGATTCCCTTTTGGTACAATCCTTTCCGCTGACTGATGATGTATCTCATATCTAGCACATACAAATATGAACTGGTTTAAAGTGATTCTAAAGACTGCTAGGTACAAAAACATTTCAGGCTGCTTTTTTGCTTTTTTTTTGCCTTTTTTTACTTTTTTTTCTTTTTTCTTTTTTTTCTTTTTTTTTCTTTTTTTTTTCTTTTTTTTTTGGCTTAGCCAACCTTGAAAGGTTAATTTCTTCAGATACAGTTTGTAGAAGCAAAGAGATCCTCCATCTCTGTGCTCTGTAACCCTAGCAGAAAATTAAGAAGGAAGGTTAGTATGTAGCTCTTGGAGTCTGTTTTTTTCCATTTTGTCAATACTAAGTTAGTCCAGTAAAGTGTTGAATTATTCACATTAAAATTCATTTGAGTTATCTTCAGCTCACATAATTAAGGGTGCAAATTGGTCAGTTAATCAGTCGCCAATAGAATTTGGCAAACAAAAATCCTGACCAGGTGTTTGGAATAAATGGTTAAAAGAAGCATACAGATAAATATCTGCTTCCAAGTTATCCTAGGTCATCCTGGCCAAAACTGGATTCAGAGATAGTTAACAGGTGCTCAGAACTGTGATGCTACAGTGTACCATGTACTCATATCTGGTGATCAGGTACTCAGATCTGCGATATAATATCGCGTCCAAAGGGAGTGGATGCTTGTATTTTATATCTCTAAGAATTTATAGACAAACTCAGAAAGGTTGATTCATTAGAATTTAAGGGCCCCGCAGAAAATTAGTATTTAATCTACATTACCTGCTTCTGGTTTAATTCTATTATATCTAATATTGGACCAAAACCTCATTTCATTCTATCCTTACAATTTTTTCCCTCTTCAGGAGAGTTTACTGCAGAAACAGGTCACTCAAACTTTTAAATTAATCTAGCTGATTCAATAAATTATTCTCATTAATTTGAATCCATAGATTTTACCTAGAGTATTTTGGTGCATATGCTCTCCGGGGATCTCAAGAAATCAGAATTACCCATTACATTAAGAAGCCTTTCTGACGCGTGGTATTATAGTCCCAAACCATACCTCAGCCCTCCGCTGCAACATGGACTTCAGTGGCAGTCTGGTAGTGAAGATTTCAGATCACTTACAAGATTATAGTGATAGGACAAGGGGTAATGGCCTTCAGCTGAAGGAGGGGAGATTTAAATGAGATATTAGGAAGAAATTCTTCCCTGTGAGGGTGGTGAGGCACTGGAACAGGCTGCCCAGAGAAGCTGTGGATGCCCCATCCCTGGAAGTGTTCAAGGCCAGGTTGGATGGGGCTTTGGGCAACCTGCTCTAGTGGAGGGTGTCCCTGCCCGTGGCAAGGGGGCTGGAACTAGATGGGCTTTGAGGTTTCTTCCAACCCAAACCATTCTATGATGCTATGATTCAGTGACATTTCCAAGTTAAAATCAGAATGACAACATATTTATGGGCTTGTGATTTTACCTATGATGAGAGCATCATTGTCTCATGTCCTAGATGCGAACATGTACTATACAATTTTTATAAATCATCATTCCAGCTAGCTTCAATTGGAGGTTAACTTCTCTAAGCTTTTCTCAGAACACATGAAGTGATTCTTTAGTGACGCTCATGCTGCATTTCATCATTCAGTGAGACACCACAGCTCTCCTCCAGTGTGTAAGACAAGGTTTCTGGGAGAGCAAGGCATCTTCATATTTATAATGAATTAGAGGATTTTCTCCAGCTGACAAGCATGAGATGTTTTTTCTATGAGAGTTTACTAATATCAGGAAAGCTCATAGCTCAGCAACATTGTTAGATGTTAGCACTTCTGTGTTGGCTTCTAGAAAACTCACTTTAATGAGGTTAACTACTTCTGTGTTTATTTGGGACTTGTATAGGAAGTAGCAAGACACAAACTGCTGACTCTCCCATCCCTTAGAAGTTCTTGAGAGTTTCTCTTCCATGAACTTGTCGAAGCTGTCCCTGAACTCATGCACCCTTCTAGCACACACAGCATCCTGCATCAAACACGTCGTAGTTATGCAACTGAGAGAAGAATGATCTCCTTTCATTTGTCTTGAGGTGTGCAACTGCCAGCTTCATTTCATGCCCCCTGTTACTAGTGTGGAAGAAAATGAACAAGTCATGTTGTATTTGCCTTCTCCACGATCCTCTTCATTTTATAGACCACATTCACACCCTTATCACTTTTCCAGGCTGACTTCTGTTTTTCCCTTACATGCCAGAGGAGGTGGGAAAATGACTGCTTATTCCATTTGACTGGAGTAGATGAACATTAGTCTTTTGCCCTCCATTGCCAAAACCAGTAAGGAAAAATCTTTCTGTCGTGAAGTTTTGTCAAAGAATGTGTGTTTTCTTGGGGGATGAAGTGGTCAAAGATGGAAACAGCTCAAACACAACTTTGTGCAGTCTCTCTTAAAAGCTCCCTTCTATAGCAACATCTGTAAGAGAGGAACTCAGGTGATGAGGTACAGTGCATATAATATCTTATGATGAAAGAATAGGACTAATAGGGATAATTCATTTAGGTTATTGTGCAGGGCTGTTTATGCTATTTTTTTTTCTTTCTTTTTCTTTAATTGTAATTGCACCCACTTGTCATGTCTTAACCTGGACAGTAAACTTTCTGGGCAGGGAAGACCTATCTGCACATTGTGGGGCACGTAATTCAGTTTTGGGTAGTGTATGAATAAATTTTATTATAAATGGTAACAGTAATGTAAAAGTCACCGTTTCCAGCACATCAGTTGTAAGGCCCTCCCTAAGGAAGGAACACTTTTGAATAAAAAAATCTTAAATACCAGCAAGTATTTTTCTATTCTTTCCAGTCTGCTTGGCTGCTGAAATAGATATTAAGGGATTATTATTCTTTTCATCTGCTGTTCCTTCATTATGATCCAGCTTCTAATACTTTTATTGATGCCAATCCCAATGGAGTCACTCATGGAATAAAATACGTCCTAGCTAAGGAGAGAACCAAATGTTAAGTTCTACTTGCTTTGTATTTTAATACCATTTAAACCAACAGCTGCTGTATGACTTATCCATGCCTCTCCTGGTACTTTTCTTATACTTCTTGAGGCGAGCCTGGAGATACCATGAGATTCGGTCTGTCATGCTCCTGACTACGTTTTGTCCCAGTAATTAAAACAGAGTGAAGAAGTAGTTTAAGGGCATTGGCTTCTATCTGCTCTCCTCATAGCAATATGAATTTTCAAGAGTGTGAGTGTGTAAATAGCTATCCTTCATTTGCTGTTCACCTCTCTGTTTACTAGCCTTCCAGCTCGGTTAACTATAACACTTACTGACACTTCTGAGAAGATGGGTGAAGACTGATTAAACTTCACAAGAAATACTGCAGGAAACATTGTCCTCAGCTTCATCTGGCCTTCTACTGTGTAAATCAAGAAGTGCTGCCTAGCCTGGTCTCTCCTGGATGTACCTGGCGTATCTGAGTAGGTCTGAAACATCCCACTACCGTGCTACAAAGTTATTTAATTCAGTGTCAGTTTAGAGCTCCTAGAAAACTGGAGATCCATATCCTGTCGATGTAAGAGAGCAGAGATAAGCATCCTCTTTTAGCCCTAGTACTGTTTAACTTTCATTTGGCAAAATTCACTAACATCAACTATAGATTGGAAAAAAATGGGAAAAAAACCTCGTGTATTTGTACAGAGCTTCAGTTTGATAAAATACCACTCTTGCTGGAACAGTTTAGAGAAATTCAAACAGTGTTAGCGAGTTCAAGCTTTCAAGCTTGAAGACATGCATTTTATTATTTTCACATAATAATGGTGCAATTGCTAATAACTATCTGATTAGTAATAGATTGTGCTTGTCTCTACAGCAGCTACTTGCAGATTGTAAGAGTCTAGGCTACATATTTGAAACAGATACAGTCACTGATTGGATTCTGTAGAGTCAGACTGATTTACGCTAGGTAGGATCTGAAATTTGTGTCATAATAGACAAAATAAATTTATTACTGCAGTTATGTCATAGTTTGTTTCAAATTGAGTTCCAAGTGAGTTAGCTTTTCATCATTTCTGTGATAAAACACC